ACGCCATTCCTGGATCGGTTAAGTCTCTGTTGGACTGGTGGCAAGGCACCCATGTTGTTAGAATATATAATTTATTATGTTAGTATAATATTATGTATATTATTATGTTTAGCTTTAGCTTTAATAATTAGTATAGCTTTAGCTTTCATAATTAGTGTAGCATTAGCTTTATGCTTTCGGTGGCTCTCTCTCCAATGTATCACAGGCTATAAGAAGAGAGCTAGTCTCCCTTTGTAAATCAATCTATGAAATACACATTTCATTTATTCACTTGTTCTCTCTCTCTATCAATTTTATCTAATATGGTATCAGAGCTATAGGTTAAACTCTTGGTGTTCTTCGTCTTCCGGCGGGCGGCAACCTTGCCTTGACCGTCCGCCGGGCCTCAACCTATTCTCCTTTTGAACTTGTTGACAGTTGTATCGACAACAGCTCTACAATATTGACGCTTGAGTTCACTACTGGGCATGTCTCAAGCCCATGCACCATCATCTTGCTTCTGCACACCAACATTACTGGTTACTCCGTGATCTCCGGCTTAGCCATGGGCATGGAACCCATGCACCATCATCTTGCTTCTCTCAATGCCAAGATTTGTGCTGCTTCCACCACGTATTGTCGGGCACCTCCATTGTAAAACCCATCTGCGAAAATGCAGATTACAACACTCCTTAGCACTACAAATGAATCAAGTGCCTCTGGGTGTTGACACTCTTCTATGTATGTCCAGCTTCGACATCCTTAGCGTCGCAGACTTCATTTTCATCTACAGGCGAGTCCTCGACCCTCTAATCGCCAGGCTACGAAAACCTAGCCCGTAGAGGCCTCACCGAGCTTCCAAGAATGGGGTCATGCACACTCAAGTGCCTCTGGGTGTTGACACTCTTCTATGTATGTCCAGCTTCGACATCCTTAGCGTCGCAGACTTCATTTTCATCTACAGGCGAGTACTCGACCCTCTAATCGCCAGGCTACGAAAACCTAGCCCTTAGAGGCCTCACCGAGCTTCCAAGAATGGGGTCATGCACACTCGAACGGCGGCAAAATTTCTCCCACTCGAACACCCACAAAACAACTCCAACACTCAGAGATCCCATTGAACTCCATAATCTCCAGCAATAGATTCTCCTCTTGGTTCTGTTGTTCTTCACCTCTGAAACTCTCTCAAACAGTGCGTTGCACACTACTCCAGGAATGATGATCACTCCCCCGGGCCCCATGCACATGCACCTCGAGAGACCGATGTAGTGGTGTTGTGCTTCTTTTTCTTTTATTATTAAAAACTTAGTTGGTGAGCCCCTTTCACACCCATGTTTCCCACTACCCACATACCCACCACACTTTTTTAATATTTCCACCTTTTCGTTTTGTTTTTATTTTTTTTTTATTCATCAACCCACCTGGGCCTGTCTCATCCGGGTGCTTATTTTATTTTCTTTTCTTATCTCTCTTTTTGAACATTACAACACAGCACCAGCACATTAGTTTTCCATACTCAACTCCCAGCATCACTCCATTTTCCAGTTCAGCTTTCACCCCAAAAACAACCACAAAAAAAAAAAAAAAAAAACACAAAAAAAAAAAAAAAAAAAAAAAAAAAAAAAAAATTTAAATTTCCTTTTCCTAGGCCAAGCCTGGGATCTTCACACCTATTTGAGTTTGAGGGGGGGTTATACCTATATCATGGTGAGCATGGTTACACACCATGCGAACCACCCAAGCTGGTGAGCATGGTTATACACCATGGGAACCACTCAAGCCACCTCATGGTGCACTCCCTAAGTCGCCCCCTTGGTGCACCACCTATATCATGGTGAGCATGGTTACACACCATGCGAACCACCCAAGCTGGTGAGCATGGTTATACACCATGGGAACCACTCAAGCCACCTCATGGTGCACTCCCTAAGTCGCCCCCTTGGTGCACCACCACAAGCTTCTACATCGGTCCTGACATCGGTCCGGCATGACCCCGTAAACTGTTCCGACATTGATTCCGGTCAGCTTCTATATCGGTCCGTCATGACCTCGTAAACTGTCCTGCTACAACGGTCTGACATGGCCATACAGTGTCTTCACCAACAGTCCGACACGACCATACAGTGTCTACTATCCTCTTTTATTTTATGTATTAGTTTATCTTCATGTTTTGTTCCTTTCCAAACTCAAGTTGGTTTTACCTATCCTCCTTGAGTTTGAGGGGGATGTTAGAATATATAATATATTATGTTAGTATAATATTATGTATATTATTATGTTTAGCTTTAGCTTTAATAATTAGTATAGCTTTAGCTTTCATAATTAGTGTAGCATTAGCTTTATGCTTTCGGTGGCTCTCTCTCCAATGTATCACAGGCTATAAGAAGAGAGCTAGGCTCCCTTTGTAAATCAATCTATGAAATACACATTTCATTTATTCACTTGTTCTCTCTCTCTATCAATTTTATCTAATACATGTCAAAAAGAAATTCAGAGCAATCTGGGGGGTTATTCCATTTGCTATTATGTGGTCTCTATGGAAGGCTAGGAATCAACTTGTATTAGAAAAGATTCGACCTGACTTGTGCTCCATCGTAGAATTGGTTAAGTTTAGAGTGGCACAATGGACTTTGGCCAACTCCAAATCAACGATATTATTCTGAAGTTGCAACTTATTGTATCTGAGGTTCATTAGCTGCAGGTCATAGGATGGGTTTGTCTTGAGTGCTGTTTTCTGTTTCGGTAGTTTTCTGTTTCGTTCTTGGTTGGCTGCTCACCAACCTTTGGCTTTGTGATGGCAAATGATTGGACAATTTTATTGGTGCCAACCCAATTGGAATCAATCTGTTTTGCTTTGATGCCTTGTGCACTAGACCTCCCTTTATTGATGTATATTATCCTTGTGTACTCCTTTGATTTTTATCAATGAAGTTTTTTTCATTGATCAAAAGAAAAATAAAATAAAGAAGCTTTACAGATGCCTTCCAAAGCTGTTAGTTTGTAGGTTTTGGGCGCTTGCCTTGCCATGAAAAAACAACAACAATAATATATAAATGTTAAAAGGTTTTGGGCGCTTGCCTTGCCATGAAAAAACAACAACAATAATATATAAATGTTAAAATTATACAAATATTCTATAAAATCGGTTAGGATATTAAGTAGAACAACATTTTCAGTGATGGGTTTAACATTGTCTGATTTGTATAATCATAATCTCTTCTTCTTTTTTGTTTTTGTTTTTGTGATTAATTCTTTGGTCATAGAATGTTGCATTGATAAATTAACATTGTCATCCTAAAAATTTCGTGCTAATTTTTTTAGTTTTATTTATATTTAATGAGTAGTCATACTTTTATTTCTTTGGGTGAATACTTGTAGTCATGCTACCTTAAACATGCTTGCTAACTTAACAGTTCAAAACGAAAAAAATTAAATTTTTGTTTCACTTTCTTTTTCTGACAACTAAATGATATATATATTTTTTAATAAATAATTTGTAGAAAGGAAATATAGGAATGGGAAGTAATCTCACGTAAGACTTGAATCCATTTTATCTGGTAAAATAACCAAATCCTACAACACATATGTATATACAAAATGGAAATTATGGTCTAAATTGATGTTAGTTACAAATCATATAGTGTTGGTGAGACCAACAAATTATTAAATCAAATTGGTCATGTCTTATTATGATGTTTGATTATGTCTCGAAATGATATTACGATTCATTGTGATTTTTGATTATCACTAAAATTACTACAAAAAATTAAGGTTTTAGAGACCAAAATTTAGGGACAAAATTATTTTTTAGGAACCAAATATTTTTATTGCGAAAAATATTGTCATTATATTTTTAGCAACGAAAATTGAAAATTAATGATGAATTATTATCCTTTTGGAACCAAATTTTTTGTCTAAAAAAATAAATCATTTTAAGACCAAATTATTTTGTTCCTAAAAGTGAATTTATTAGTGACATTTTCAAAATTTTGTTGCTAAAAGCCTTTTTTTTGACTTTCAGGACGACCTTTTAACAAATATCCTCACGACGATAGGAATTGGTCCCTAAATATCTTTTGTAACAAAATTTTTATTTTTAGAGATAAAAAATTTTAATCTTTAAAACTCTTATATGTTGTAGTGAATATTCTTCAATTATGACGCTAATTGATGTTAGTTATTATGACTCCACATGTCTATGATAAATGTGCAAACAATATTTGTATGTCACCATTTATTTTGTACAAAGTGTAAAAAGTATGTTATAATCCAATTTTGATACTTTCTGTTTTGTTAATGACTATTAGATATTGATTGAAAATTTTATTTGCAAATCTAATGATAATGTTCAATTTTATGCTTATAAAGTGATTGTTTTAAGAGTAATGATAGAGATCATAAAAAAAAATATCATGAAATGTATCATGAAAATTTCTTATCCTTTGATTAGTGTGTGGTGTTTTATTGTATGTGTAATTCAAAAACGGAGAATCTTTCATGATCATTTTCATAACATTTTTTTAATGATCCCTAACATTACTCTTGTTTTAATACAACATATGTAAGAAACTTTGGTAAAAACGTATAGTTAATTTTTAATAGTATAGAGTTTCATAATGAGATTTTTGCGTTCGCTATTGACTAATATGCTGTTGTTTTTCTGTGTAATCATAGTTTTATTACATATCAATTTTTTGTCAGCCTAGATATCGAATTACAAGCGACTAAAATATCACATGAGACAAACAAAAAAATATTTTGAACCTTGATACTGTATTTGAATCATTAATTAAAAAAGAGAAAAAAAAAGGTAAGAAAAATAGAAAAAAAAATTATATTTATTTCACACATCGCTTACCTTTTTTTTTTTTTTTTAAATGTCTATTTAAATTCATGATTTAGAGAATCTCAATGTCCACAAACATTTTTTTGAAGAACACTGAATCTCACAGAAGGTTGAAATTAGCAAGATCTTATTATACTGTGCTCTACCCATAGAGGGTGGGGAGTGAAAAAGATCCTCATGGACAAAAGGTAATAACATAATTGGCACCAGTAGGGCAAGTGGACAAACTGGTTGGGTCATCCCTAGGATAGCTATAAGCATCTGGACACCTATCCTTGAAGAATTCGGAGTACACTGTAGGCCCACAGCTCTCAGCCCCATTAGTGCAACAATATTCATTAGTTTTGAAGACAGTACATGGGTTGTTACATCCACCTGGGGCCTGCAACTTGTTCGGGCACTGGGCGATTAAGTTAGCGGCACACCTTTTTCCAGGACAGGCCGCAGTGGTGGGGCTAAAGTCAATCGGAATATTGAATCCATAAACGTTAGATATGTCAAAATAGTCAATGTTATTGGGCTGGTTCAATGAGAATTCCGCGACGGTATTTGGGGGTTTACCGTAGCCTTTGCACTCTAGGAGCCCATTGCAGTCACCGGTCTCACATTGGCCTTGGCCACTGGCATCAAAGTTGCAGTTGGTCCGGCCCCAAATACGAGCTTGGGTTGTGCCGGGTTTCACATTGAGGGTCCAAGACTGATCTGGGTCAAGACGCCGCCCCCCACCGGGTGAGGCGGCAGCCCAGACTGTGTACGGGCATTTGTTTTGGATATCAAAGGTGGCTGCATGGTTGTAGGGAATGAATAGGGTAAAGAGGAGAGGGAACAAAATGGTGAGGTTTATGGGGAAGCTCATGTTGGTGACTTATGTGCTCAAGCAAGTATTGTGATTTTATGGGATTGTATTCATGTGGTTTTGTGATCCTACCTTTGAGGGGTTCATATATAGTTTCAGGGAGGCAACAATTTTGGTAACAAAATTAAAAAATTTTGATTGACTTTAATTGCTATTCAATCTCACAAAATTGATTTGGAAATGCTAGAGGTCCCAAATTTTCTATCAAATAAATGACCAAATGTCTACACCCATGTGAGACATTTGGTCATTTGTTTGGTAGAAAATTTGGTGTCCCTAGCATTACTTGATGGAAAATGTCTCGTAACTCAAATTTTGTGGCTCAAAAGTGGTTCAAATGGCCAAAACGATTTTTATGTTGTTCTGTACTCAAAACGACGTCGTTTTGGCCATATGAGTCACTTTTGAGCCACAAAATTTGAGCTACGTAGCATTGTCGATTACCTGATTGATTTAGAAAATGCTAGAGGTTTCAAATTTTCTACTAAATAAATGATCAAATGTCTCACATAGGTGTGGGGTCCACAAAATGGTAAAAAATTTGATATCCCTGACATTACCTGATTGATTTTCCATGGAAGTCAAGTCAACCGTGGATGAAAAAGGCCAATCCATTAATGCATCTACACTTCTGCCCAAAGTTTTGAATAAACGGTGCCCGTTGTGCTAATCGTAACAGTAGCATTGATAAGGTTGCGGGGTGTAATAACCTAGTATAATGGTGGCGATAATTAAAATTGTAACTTTTTTAATTCTTCGCACAACTTTAAAAAAACATATTGATACACTTATTTTTATTTCAAAATCACATTTAGTGAGATTTAAAATGATTTTTAATATATTTTGTTTAGTTCTTAAACATAATCTAATTTATATTAAATTTTAAATAAGTTTTAAAGTTGCTATGGAAATTTTTTCTATTATTGAATTTATTGAATTTTCTATAGTTTGCTAATTATACTTATGAATAGCTTTTATCTTCTTAAGAAAAAAAAAATGAAGTATGTTTAATATAAAAAATAATAATCTCATAAATAAAAGTTCAAAATATAAAATGTAAATATAAATAATATAGAAGTACATAACATGAAATTTAAATTTTCTTCAAGTAACAGGAAATAGATATAAGTTAATATTCAAACAATTAAGTAAAAAAGTAATGAAAGTTTGAAAAGAAAAAGAGCGAAGTAAGCTTATTTAATCTTTGATAGCAACTCAAGTCTTGTATAACTTGAATATTGGACATGCAAAATATGTAGATCTAAGATTTCTACTTACGTTTTGGTCCTTTTGGTGCGATTTTAACAACTAAAGAAGACAAAAAAAAAAAAAGAAAAAGAAAAAAAAAGAAGAAAATGACCTCTATACAAAATTTAAAAAAAAAAATTAAAAGTTTAATGATCGTAATTGCTGTATCGATGTTATAGTGGCAATGTAACGGCCATTGCAGTTTTTACGTAATGGTAACGGTCATTACAAGTGACGGTAATCACTACAACTATTACATAACGATTGCGATCACTTTTAAAAATCATGCTTCCATCCATTGTTTGGGAAGTTTACTTAACAAGGTCACAAAAAAAAAAAAAAAAGAAAAAAAGAAAAGAAAAAGTCATATACCTCAACTAGCATGGCAATTTTTAAGCATACTGATTTTAATACGTCTAAGTTCATATAAGATCAAATATAAAATAAGACACATATATTTTACAAAAGACGGGACAAACACTCATAAAATATTTGTGTCTAATTCTATATTTTAATCTATCTGTTCCTATAGCATTGTTGAATAATTTTTTTTTACCCCATAAAATAATAAAAAAAAACCACAAAAAAAAAAAAAGTCAACCTAAATAGTGCCCGAACCATATATTGTGCTCATCATATTACCATATGGCTCCATAGACGGATTCCAAATTCTACTGTCGTGGCCAACATATTTATACTACATATAATTGTAAAACGTTGTGAGTTTTATAAGTTTCAAATTTTAATGAATTGTTTTCAATGTTTTTAAATTATTTAGACAATGAAATTACTTAAGTAATTATGTGTTTCAATTTGATTAGTCCAAATCAGATTTCTGTATAATTTAAGTTAGCACCTTAATTTCTTATGAGTTGTCAAAATATTAGGGATTTCTTTCTTTAAATTATGATATCATAATTGTCTATCATTAAGATTTTGCGTATGTGTAGTCAAATAGTGTGCGAACAAAATCAATTTTGCCCTTTTTAGATCAATACAAAGAACTGTTCTGTTAATTTTGGAAACAAACTTAACTTTTCTATATGGTTATTGCTACCTTAAAGTACTCTTTAAATTAAGACACATAATTATTCGCATAATCTCCAAATCAGATTTCTATATAATTTATGTTAGCGCCTAAATTTCTAATGAGTTGTCAAAATATTATGGATATCTTTCTTTAAATTACGATATCTAATTGTCTATCATTAAGATTTTGCGTATATGTGTTAGTATCCTTAGCAGCTATATCTATATATATATATATATATATATAATAATGATAGAGACCACTAATTTTAGAGCTTTAAAAAGATCACTAATGACATGACACTCAATAAAAAAAGAAAAAAATATAATATCAAAGCTAAAACATCAAATCATTCATAATGAGACCCACTGCCACATTATTAATGATAATACTAATTAGTGCTCTCACTCTTCTTCCTTGTCCCAAATATCCTTTTGGATTATTGCCTTCTGACGCATATAGCACTCGACGAGTTCTACACATTGAACGGTTCAAATTATCAAAATGGGACCCGTGATGGCCCCCACGGGCCGAACAACACTGTCCTTAAGCTTGCCTTTGCCTGTGTAATTTGTCTTCACCAAAGTCAGGCAAAGACAAACTCACATCAGAGTGAGTTATCTCACAATTTGTATAAAAATAATTTTTTTTGGTAAATAGTGATAACTTTTTAAATTTTTTAGTAACTTTTTAACTTTTTGTTTTATTTTGAAGATGCAAAACTAAACCTAAAAATGGTGCTCTAAAGCACTACTAGTGAGTTAGCACGCATTTAAAAAAAAAAAAACAACAAAAAAAAAAAGACACAATAACACTGTGGCAGTGGGTGGGACACACTGTCACATCATTAGTGGTGACACTAATTAGTGCTCTCACTCATTTTCCTTTAATGGAAAACCTTCTAGATCTCCAAACTCTCATTCTAAAATTTAAAATTTTTTGATTTTAAATAACTAATTTTTTTTTTATTGGCTAGCCTTATCCAAACAAAAATAATAACAATAATAATAATATTTCTTAATTTATGACTTTTAAATAGAAAGTATACTAATCCATTTCAAAATTTAAATTTAAGGACCACTAAAATGGAAATAAATCTATTAATTTAAATTTAAAATTGGCACATAATTCCATGCATAGTACATAATTTATAATTTATTTTTATTTTTATTTTGATCTATCCATGATTTATAAGCTTTAAATATAAATTTAAAATTATCATAATTACCTTATAATTTTTTATATTAAGGAACAATAAGAGTAACGTTGAAATTATTTATATATCTATATAATTTTTAAAATTTTTAATCTATCTCATGATTTACAGGTTTTAAATACAAATTTAAAATTATAATATATATATTTATTTATTTTGATCTATTTCATGATTTATAAGTTTTAAATACAAATCTAATATCTATATCTATCTATTCCATATATTATAGCAAATGAATATTTCAAGTAAAGGCCTATGGGAGCTCTCAACCTCCCATCCTAAATTTATGAATTTGAAAAATAATTTTAAAATAAAAAAATCTCATAATTTATCATTTTTTATAATAATTCCATAATTTATGATTTAGAAAAGAAAATGTGTGTGCAGTTTTCTAAGCACACTGCCAAACAGGTACTCAGCTGGAGAACACTGAGAGAATAGATTGTGCTCGAACGACCTGCCACAGAAAGATAAGACTCCGACGGTAGTTCGTCCACCCAGGAACAGTCCGACGATCAAGTTAGTATTTAATTATCTCTCAAAGATAGCAAATAGTGCTTTTACTCACTAATCAGAATACAAAAAGCACACCTTAGACCTACGCAGGTGCCTTACTTTTATAGCTAGCACTAACCTGATTCCAGTAGAAGGCTAGCTTCTCTTGGACTCTGACTTAATGTTCATCCTGGACTCTCTAATAGATAAAGATAAACTCCTTAAGAGCTTTATCCTTATCCAGGCTGAGATCCTCCTTCACTCTAGGACCCTTATCCCTTATCCGTTTACCCCAGATTCTGGTATCTTCGCAGATAACCTCGGCCTAGCCGAGATCATCTTGGCTTCATGACCAGGACACGTGGCACCTCGGCTGGCACTTCGGTGCCACCTTGGCCATGTGTAATTAATCACAAAAAATATGCCCCCACAACTGTCCCCTAGGTTCTATTACCTCGGCATCTTGAGGTGATGGAATCCATATCATTCGACCATATAGCACGTCGGCTAAGCTTGCCTTATTCTTCATTACCGAGGTCATTACACGTCGGCTCTATATGACCAAGACTTCAGTGTGTTTTGTCAATGCCTTAAAGCTAAGAGCCAAGTTTTTTAAGTTCCTTAACCGAGATCGTTCCCTTAGCCGATGTCTTTGCTTCATTAAATCAAGAACTCTAAGAGTTTCTACACGCGTATGAGCTGTTACGTACAGTAACTCAACCATTTTTGCCATGCTTCTCTTCCTTATTGAACCATACCTGACACACGCCATCAGGTCGTGTCGCTTCTGCGCACGTCGCCTGACAGACACGTCGTCCTGGGCACACTAATTGTGATTTTGCGGCGTTTTCGTGTTTTGATCAAAAACACATCTCTCTCTCTCTCCGTTTTTTCACCTTTGCAACACCGTTTTTGCTCAAGTCTTCTCTCTCTAACACTTCTCTCCCAAATCCTCCATTTTTGTTTTCTCGAAGCTTTCTGCAACTGTTTTCACTCTTCTCCTCCGGCGAG